AATGATAACTAAAAATAGCATTAACGCTTGTGGGGTTTTGGAAAGCGCCCCGATCAAGTTAACTCCGTTACCAAAAATTGATAATTTGGACAGTTACTATCCCGACACCTTAAAGCTTACAGATCCATCACCGTGGATTGAGTTTTTTGAGACAAATCTTCATAAACTTGTTGAATTGGTTGTAAAATGCTCCAATAATGATGATAATGGTGATAATTCTCCATGCGATGATGTTCGACAACGTGCTACAAAATTTGATAGTATGTTCCGGAAACATTTAACTCTTTTACGCGATCGTCCGGCTATGTATGGTGCATTGACTGTACGAAGCTTATTAAATCTTAGAGAACAATGTCTACATGAACTTGGGTTTTCTGATATTTTCGTAAAAGTAAAGGCTGAAGAGAATAAAGCCGCTTTAGAAAGTTTACAAAAGTTATTAGCAAATATAGACTCCATTCAAAATGTGGAAGATAAGATAGATTTATTAATTGATAACATATTGGCCGGTAACATGTTTGATTGGGGTTCTGGACAAATTTTGGATCTGCTTAACAAAGGTGAACTCACTTTTGAATCGGCTCATACAAAAATAAAGAAACCTGAACTCCTAAACCAAACAAATAAATTTAAGCAACGTATTGTCAGTAAAACAAAATTACCATTAAGAAAGGCTGTGATATTCGTTGATAATTCGGGTGCAGATATCGTTTTGGGCATAATTCCTTTTGCTAGATTCTTGATTTCTTTGAACATGGATATTATACTTGCTGCTAACAGTTTTCCCGCCGCAAACGATGTGACTGTAAGCTTTTTTTTATTTTATTATTTAACCAATGATTTTCCAATTATTTCAATTTTAATCATTATATTTTAGGCTGATGAGCTAATAGACATTTTATCGTCGGTTTCTGAAATGGATTCTTTTATTGCCGCAGCTTGGGCATCAAAAAAATTGACAGTTATGGCGACTGGAAGCTTTAGCCCTTGTCTTGATTTGATAAGAATTAATGAAGATCTTGCAAGGGCATGTGAGAATGTAGATCTTGTAGTATTAGAGGTTATTATTACTACTATTATTATAAGTTGTAAAGTTTTTTCTAAGATACTCACGTATTATTGTCGATTTCGTATAGGGTATGGGAAGAGCCATTCACACCAATTATAATGCAGTGTTTACATGCGCGTCCCTTAAATTAGCAGTATTTAAAAACTCTATTACTGCGAATGAGCTCGGAGCAAATGTTTATGACGCTATAGTGTTATACGATGAAGGTTCTGCTGTTGAAACTTCCTGATGATTTAATATAATGAGCTTTTGCAACTAAACTTTATTGGGGTTACAGCATAAATAGAGGCTTAAAAAAGATAATACAGGTTAAATGTTTGTTTTAAACAAGAGCTTACTATCAAATTATTATACCGGTAAAATTTATTAAGCTAAAATGATCGATCATTCTTTTAAATATATAATACTAAATTGTATGCATTAAACGTGTCTTTGGATATCTTTAAACATCGTCACATCAAATTATCACCGTTATTCTCGGTTACATTTATAGAGGTCACCTTTATGCATTGCATAATAAAGGATAAGTGATTAACTTAATTATGCGCGTAATACGCCATTGGAATATGTAAATCCTGTTAAGAAATGACGAAATTTAGCGATACCATGGTGAAATCATTTCTAATTTAACCAAGCTTAGACATTTATGCTGCATCTCAAACGTACATACGTATGCGATTACATAATGTACTCTGAGAGAAATTCTCACGATTTGTCAGCAAATTACTTTCTGTTAAGTAATGTAGATCAATTTTTTGGTAACGGAGTTAACTTGATCGGGGCGCTTTCCAAAACCCCACAAGCGTTAATGCTATTTTTAGTTATCATT